GCCCTGCCCCACGTGGGACAGGCTCAGGCCCCCTCAGCCAGCCCAGGCCTGGCTCATGGCGCTCTCAGCCGGCCCAGTCCCTGCCCCCCAAGGGACAGGCTAACGCCCCCCTCCCAAGCTGGCCCAGGACCTGCCCCCCTTGGGAATGGCTCACGGCCCTGCCCGATCCCCCTAGCTGGCCCAGGCCCACCCCCACCCCGCACTGAGACCCTGCTCCTGCCAACCTCCCCGTTCCATCTGCCCCTCTGCCCTCCGCTCCCGCCATCTCCTCTCCCAACACACTCTTCCCAAACCCCCACTCCTGCTAGTCCCCTCATCTACACACCAATGCCCCCAACTCCTGCAAGGCCGCCACCTCTTCCACGCAACCCCCAGCAACCCTCTGCCCTCCCCCACAACCGTCCCCCTCCATGCACCCCTCCTGCCAGCCCCTCCCTCCAGGCACAGTCCTGCCCAGAGCTGGCAAGAGGGGAGGGGAATGAGGGACAACTGTCTGTGTAACTAAAGTGAAATGGGAGGGGGTGGGGGTCCAAATTCCTCTCAACGGGCATGTTCCCGCCATCCCTGAGCATTGGGTCTGTGACCTCGGCGGCCATCATGTGCAGTCCCACCCCTCCGCCCCACACACACTCCCACCATCCCTGAGCATTGGGTCTGAGAGCCCACACACACTCCCACCATCCCTGAGCATTGGGTCTGAGAGCCCGGCAGCCATCTTTTGCAGCCCCCCTCCCCATGCACAGTCCCGCCATCCCTGAGCGTTGGGTCTGTGACCCTGGCGGCCATTTTCTACAGTCCCCCTACCCCCCACACGCTCCCGCTGTCCCTGAGCCTTGGGTCTGAGAGCCCGGCGGCCATCTTGTGCAGCCCCCCCTCTCCACGCATACTCCTACCATCCCTGTACATTGGGTCTGAGAGCCTGGCGGCCATCTTGTGCAGCCCGTCCCCACTGACAATCTCCCTCTCCCCTTGTCCCCAGGAGGAAGAGCCCTGCGGCTAATGGAGGAGCTGACCCCTGACCGGCAGCGCCCCTGAGCCCCGTGGCAGGGAGATGGCGCGGCGGGTCAGGCTGCAGAGCCCCTCACACCCGGACCTGCTGCTGCACCGGGCCAGTGAGCTGAGGCATGCGCGGGCCCTGTGCGACGTGTTGGTGCGTGTGGGCCAGCGGGACTTCCCGGCCCACAGCTTGGTGCTGGCCTGCGCCAGCCGCACCCTGGCCCGGCTCCTCCTGCCACAGGGCCCCAGCAAGCTCTGCAGCCTGGACTTCCTTGCGCCTGCCACCTTCAAGCACGTCCTGGACTTTGCCTACACCGGCAGCCTTGAGGTGGCTCCTGAGGAGCTCGCCAGCCTCTTGGCCACTGCCCGGGACCTGGAGATGGAGGAGCTGGAGCAGGTGTGCCTTAGGGCGCTGGGGACTAGAGACCCCGATGGGACTGGCATTGGCGACAGGGCTGGCGGCCATGATTCAGTTGGCGTTGGGGACAGGACTGGTGGCCATGATGGGCTTGCCATTGGCGACAAGACTGGTGGTCATGGTGGAGTTGGCCACAGGACTGGTGGCCATGACGGGGTTGACATTGGCGACAGGATTGGTGGCCATGACGGAGTTGCCATTGGCGACAGGGCTGATGGCCCTGACGAAGTGGGCATTGGCAACAGGACTGGCGGCCATGATGGAGTTGGCATTGGTGATTGGGCTGGTGGCCATGACAGGGTTGCCATTGGCGATGGTGCTGGTGACCATGATGGAGTTGTCATTGGTGACAGGGCTGGCAGCCATGACGGGGTTGGCGCCCAAGACGCGAAGAAGGAGACAGCGGATGGGATGTCCCAGATGAAGTCGCCAGGCAACCATGACCTAGTTTTATTAGCCAATGGGCCCTGCCTGGCCCTGGGTAGGCCAGACAGTAAGGGGAGCCAAATCCAAGATGGCAGCTTGGCACCCAGTTGGGTCCTGTTTGAACAGTCCTCCCTCAAGCCACGGGAAAGCGTCATCACAGCTACGGCCCGGCCACTGCCTCAGGAGCACCGCGCCCATCCCTGGCCGCCAGAGGCGCTCTGGGGGCCAGAGGGGGTGGTTGCTGGCTACCAGCCCTGCCCGCCATTGCTCAGCTACCAGCTGCAGTCGCTGCCTTCGCCTTTGGGCAACCTGGGGCCTGGGCACATGGCCCTCTCCGCATCGGTGGGTTTCCATGGCTACGTCCGACCCTTCCCCTGCGGGCTGGAGATGGGGAAGCCGGGCACCCCCAGTGGGATCACGGGCAGAGAGAAGCAACTGGAAGACCAGAGGTGAGCGGGGTGGGGGTGGGAGAGAAGCCATAGGTGATGGGAGTGGGTTGGGGGAGGCTGGGAGCAGGACTCCTGGGTTCTATCCCTGGCTGGCCCTGGGAGGGGAGTGGGGTCTAGTGGATTAGAGCAGGGGGAGCTGGGAGCCAGGACTCCTGGGTTCTATCCCTGTCCCTGGGAGGGAAGTGGGGTCTAGTGGGTTAGAGCAGGGGGAGCTGGGAGCCAGGACTCCTGGGTTCTATCCCTGTCCCTGGGCGGTAAGTGAGGTCTAGTGGATTAGAGCAGGGGGAGCTGGGAGCTGGGACTCCTGGGTTCTATCCCTGTCCCTGGGCGGGAAGTAGGGTCTAGTGGGTTAGAGCAGGGGGGCTGCGAGCCCGGGGGGATGATTCAGGCCATGAGGCTGCTGCCCGCCCTCCCCCCGCGGCTCCGGGGCGCACTGGCTCTCGGCCGCAGGCCCTATTCTGTGGGAACTGGCCGCGTCACTCATTTCCTGCCTGGTCTCCTTGGGGCACCCTCCCCGTGAAGGCAGGCATGGCAGGTGCTGTTGCAGCTCTGAGCAGGGCACTGGGGACAGGCAGGGACCAGCCGCACATGCGCCTTGCCAAGCACCGCTGACTTTTCGCACCTGTGGCCAGAGGCCGCTCGTCCCTGGTGCCAGGCCAGCTGGATTAACCCTGGGGTAGGGGCATTGCAGCCCGGGGGCGCTGATGGGAGGGAAAGCATTGTCCATGGGGGGAGCTCCCGAGTACCTCAGCCCTGGCCTGGCGCTGTGGGGGGAAATCCCCCGATCTCTCTGGTTTGCAGTTATGCCGGTCATGGCTCAGGGTCCCCCGTTCCCCCAGTGACGCACAGACCCTGAGCCCAGCAGGTTCCTGCCCCAGAGATTGGCGGAGCCCGAGATGAAACAGGTCCCATGGGAGGGGGTGGCCGGGTGACTCGCCCGTGGGGTTTCCCCCAGCCGGCCCCACACCCACACACCCGACTTCAAAGGGCCGAGTTGTTCCTAGATGACACATTCTTCCCCCCCCACCACCCCAGAGCCGTTCACATTTTCCTCTAAGCCAAATTACCTTAATTCGGAGGGTGGGGAAGTGAAGGGGTATCACGGGGCTGTAGGGGTGGATCGGGGGAAGGGGGGGACAGGGGTGTATGGGTGGATCTAGGTAGGGGCAGTGGGGATATGAGGTTTAGGGGTGGATCAGGGCAGGGGGCTAAGGGGAGTAGGGGTGGATCTGGGAGGATCAGAGGGGATATGGGGTGTAGGGGTGGATCTGGGTGGGGCCAGGGAGCTATGGGGTGTAGGGGTGGATCAGGGACAGGGGGGCTATGGGGTATAGGGTTGGATCGGGAGGGCAGGGGTGCTACTGTAGGGGT